TTTGTACAAATAAGAAAATTGGAAATAGGAGGCCACACTATCATCGAAATTATGGAGTAACACGAAGTTTAAATTATCGATTATTGGAACTTTTTCTGTTGCAATAAAAGCGCCACAAGCTTTAATTGGAACCAATAAAAGAAAGGCAACAGCTAGTGAATACTGTTATTTAACGCAATTAAGACAAAGAAATCTGCAAGCTTGAGTTACTTTCAGTATTTCCGTATTAATTAATTACACGTGAAACTAAAAATTTTACATCTGAATAGTATCATTTGTACGATTTTATGTCGACAGGATGTGTTCGTTCTCAGTGTATAATCAGCTGAATAAATCATCATCTATTTTCTTATCTAGGTTGCCGAGTTTTCTTTCTGTACATGTATTAATCAAAAGCAACTCCGAAAACTTAAATGATTGATTAAAAACGATTCTGAAAGGACGCCAAGTTGCCTGATTCGAAGCACTTTGAAACTTGGTGACATTTTATGCCCAGCACCCGGTTTGATTAGGGCGAAATGGGATTAGTACAAATATAGCTTGCATCTTTTTGCGAATAACTGTAAAAGCAATTCGTTGTTAAATAAAATTATCCAGGATACTCCGCGGAGACGAGAAAAACTGGCATGTAGGCACAAAGTAAATAAAATAACTCATAACAAAAATTGTTTTGTCTAATTTACCACAGTTTGTTTGTTGGAATTTTTTTAATTTTCTCATAATCCATAGAACTCCAACAAATCCCACACAACAAAAATTAATGAAATCTTTCACGGTATTGTTTTTATATGCAAGGCAGTTTATGTAAAATTATGCGCGCATTCGTGTGTACAAAGAGTTGAATATTGAAATTCTGTAAATGCCAGGAGGAATTTAACTTGAGATGCATCTTTGTACAATTTATTTTATTTAGTGACACCTATAGGTCAAATCATATATGATTTTTTTTAACGGATGTTTAAAGGTGAAAATGTAATAAAGGTCAAGAACATACACAGAGTTTTTAAATGCATTTTTTTAATTTGAGCAAAATTTTAAGATGCTAAGAAGTCATCTATGATAATGTCCGCAGAATTAATTGCAAATACGGTGCACGAGAATAATTTATCTTACGAAGAGGAACGTCGTTGTTTCCTCTGAATCCAATAACTTGCAAAATTAACAAAATTTTAATTTTCCAAATTTATTTTACATTTGTTAATAGAAAAATAGAAATTTTTTTTTTTATCTGTTGACCAAATAATTTGATGCGTAAATGAAATCCCAGAAATATTTGAAACATTGAATGGAAATTCTCTCTTTACCGTCCAATTTCTTTTCCAGACGTACAACATAATTTGTTTTAACAAGATTTGTTTTAATTTGAGACAAAATCTCTGGCACAGCGGTTCTTTCAACAACTCCGCCCACACCATAGCAATGTCCTGCTATAGAAAAGTTCCATGTTGCTTCCTTAGTATATTCATTTAATTTTGGTAGAATATGTAGCAACAATTGTATATTAAACTTATTTTATACTGTGAGCAAGGTCCATCAGATTGGAAATGACACGTTTCAATTAAAAAATGCACCCAGATGGCATACGAACCACGTGTGAAACTTCTAATTTTGTACAAAAAGATATTGCTTTGATTTCCATTCATTTTAATACACAAAGACTCCAAGTATGCAAGGATAAATTGTCTTTAAGACGCCCTAAAACATAAGGAATGCACTTCTCGTATCTCCTATTTCAAGACATAATTTATCTGGATGATGATTTCATTTTCTTATAAATGTTCTTTTAGAGTGTTCATTGGCTTGCATTAATGGAGAAAATCAAATACGTGTTTTTTGAAGTACATATGGTAAACATTTCTTCCATTTTTTAAACAATTTCGGAATAAGGATTTTCACCTCTTTTCTTTTGGTTGGTTTAACGAATCCTATCTTCTTCTTAACTGATCCTTCCTCATTTATAATACTTTATTATTAATTGGAAATTTGTTTACATGTGGCGCTTTTATAGTTTTAGATGAACACTGTATGGCATCAATTACTTTCGTTGATGTTGTATGAGAAAGTATGTGTTTAATATCGTGTGATTTTTTAAATTTCTGCTCTAGTTGTCCATGACGCTTACGTCAGCCGTCTCAGTTGCACCGCTCAAAAAATTAAAAAAATACGCGGTTCAAACATATGTGTCGCGATCAGATAATTTAGGTGGAACAACATAAAATGGTCGTAGTTTCAGGAACATCTGTATCATATTTTCCTTTTTTGCTTTTCCTTACAACATGCATGAAATTTTAAAATCTTTTTGCCGGCACTCATTTGACTATTTTTATCTTTTTCTAGAAATTTTCGAACAGAAATAACATCATCCGCATGAAAAGCAAAGCAAATAATTTAGTGACGTTATCTCAAAATTTTGCATAGTAAATACATTTAAATTTTTAAATTAACATACTTGTGTACCTTTAGTTTGCGAATGCGCCTTGTAGATTTTTCGAAAAAATTCAAAATTATGTAACAAAGTTTTATTATTTAACTTAGAAACTGCAAAACCGAATGCTCTGAAATCTTGTGAAATTTACATTACGTTCATATTTCCTAGAATTGCTTATACAAGCTGACTCAAATATGTTCATGAACAAAGCATTTTATTATATAAATCAAATCTCTCCATTTTCCCGAAATTTTGGAAATACAGTGCTCTACAGTAGTCTCGTAGACGTGTTAAAATTATCGCAAGCATGGTAAATTTTTAAACAAAATATATTTGTTTTTCCCCCTCAAAAAATTGATGACGGTCAGCTCAAAATTTTTTCGAATAAATCCTATTTAAAAGGCACAAACTATAATGAGTCGACACTTGTTATTTATCCGTGCATTCATATTTGTTTAAATTGCTTATACAGGGTGACTCAAAAAATTAATGAATGAGTCAGTTTATTTTATTGATTGAATCAGCGACGGCTCATTCCATTTTCCTGAAAATTTGGGAATGCAAATGCAATGCAGTTATTATTAGTATTTTTATTTTTACAGTGATTAATGCTAAAAATTTTTAAATATTATCTCACCCCAGTTTACTAGTTTCTTTGTAACATTTAGATTATAAAAAAAATCAAAATTTGGTATCGCTAATTGATGCAAAAGGATTGTTGTCTAAAATGAACACACTGCATATCCAGCACTGAATTTTCGGAATTAGTATGTATACGTTTTTTATCAATGGATTTTACGTGTTTCTAACAGTATATTTTTTCTTTTTTCTGTTGTACAATTTTTCACTTCCGTGTCTTAAAATGTAAAAAAAAAATTTAAAAAGTATTGGCCTGGTGCCAGTTGACATTTCTTTCATTCTTGTGTACTTTTCACATTAATTGTTTGTAAATTAACGGAATATTAAAGATTTTACATTAAGAGAAATTGATGTAAATCGAGGAGGGTAGAATAATCTTATTCTACCCTCCTCGATGTAAATACATATGTATGTAGAATCTCCGCAAAAAAATGAAAAGGTGCACGAAGAGAATTTTCCAACAAAACAAATTCCAAGCGTCACGTATTTCATACGTTTAGAAAAGTGTATTTTACATGAGAAAATCCAAAAAAATAATACTAAACGAAATGTTAAAAAATTGATCTAAGGTTATTTCGTTTAGATAACAAGGACCAGTGGCGAAATTTGTGTTGGCAGAAAATTGAATCCACAAAACAATATTTAAACAATAAAAATTATGACAATAATAAGCAAAGTGAAGGCGGATTCATAAACCACACTAGGATTGTATTATTTGATACAATTTAAATGACGGTGTTCACTAAGCAACATTTTAAAAACTGACGTCATTACTGTGTTGGTGGGACGATGAGATAAATTTTGGTTACCGTTTTACCATCGACACGATATTCCTAACACATATACAAAATTAGACAACAATCGGTTCAGTAGTTTCCAAGATTATTCGTTTAATAAAAATCCGGACAGACAGACGGAAACGGGAAATCTATTGTTTTGCACTCTAGATGTCATGTAACATCGAAAAAACATGAAAGTAGTTATTGGTCCGATGGACCTTATTACAACTTCCTTAATTTAAGTTTTAGAGTAAAAAATATTCTAAGTAACACTTAAAAAAATTGGTCCAAGGTTCTGAAGTACAGCCCAACAAACAAATTCAGCTTGTCTTTTCAAATATTTCACTGAGATATATTAACACAGATAAACTAGAACAATATTAAATATTCTTGTAGATTATAAGCCTAGAATTTTTTTTGTTTTTAGATATTTGTTTAAGAACTCTTATTATTCGAAATAGTTTGTCCGTAGGTGTCTGTGTTTTAGAACAGCTGACGTTAAGATTTTCAGTGCAATCATCTTGTTTGCTAGAAGCGTTTAAAGGTTGGGATTTCATTTCTTTTTAAAATAGGTCAGAAGCAGTTGTGAATTAACAATAAAAATTAACAATAGGTTAAATACAATTTGAATTGTTGAATTGAGAGTATACTTATTTAAACTTCATCACGGCAAATAATTAACAATCCAGTTGGTGTAAAATATTTTAATTGGCAGAAAATTAGCACACGTCCACACTACCCTCTTGGCGCAGCTGAATTTTTAATACACAAATTAGAAACTAATTCACTCAAAAAACAAAACTCCAACGATCGCTGAGTTTCTGACGTAGGCCGACTCTGTTGTTGTCACCTTATACTCTGTTCACGATTTGATTAAGGCGAAATGAAATTATTGTAAATTTAACCCATATCTTCTTGTGAATAAGCTTCCATTCTCAGTCTTGGAGATTATCTCAAATTATATTTAACAATTCGAATAGGACCGTTCTTTGATTGGTTATGTAACTTTGAGACTAGAGAAATGACTTTATGTAGGCGCTAAGGGTCGAAAATGACGTCACTTGTGATTCAACTTTGTCGCCGCAGCTTTGGCACCCCCACGCAGCTCTATATCCTCTTGGCGCCGCTCACGTGAACCGTCAGTTGCTCCTGGTGTTGTGTTGCGGTTGGTTTGCTAAATAAATTGCGCTCTGTGGATCGTACTCGTACATATTAAAAAGTAAAAAAAAATAAATAGAAATGTAAATTATTTATTTGTGGATCGACAATTGTGAGTGTATTTTTGGTGAAGGTTTTTGAGATCAAAAACTTTCTTGGTCGTAATGGATTCAGACGGAGATCCGCTAGCTGCACCCTATGTGGATTTAAATAAATATCAAGGTATAAAGAAGTTTTACAGTTTTACTCGTTAAATTAACATAATGTATTACATGTACTTTGACCTGGTAACAAATACATGTTGTTTAAGGTTGCGAATAATTATTTATATCTTCAATGTCGGTTTTAAGGTTGAGTGTAACGTTTATGTATGTAGATAGTGACTGCAAATAAACAGCTTCCAAATTTTACATAGAAGGGGATTGATATCTTTTTTATTATTTGTATTAAACAGTAACTGATTTTTATCGATTGACACGTAATCTGAAATTAATGTATAATTTAAAGTCGAACTAGAGGTGCATTGTTCTGTGATACTCCTATTTCGTTTTGTTTTATATTACATTACAATAATGGGTCTGCTTTTACAAAAGTTTTGTGAGTGGCGGGAAGAATTTATTATTTTTAAAGACTGGGGCGAAATAATTAAAAGTTACCAATATGTAAAAATGTTATGCTGTAAACGAGCATAATTTTTCATAATCATATCAGCTGTCTCCAATTTAATTCATAAGCAATATTTCGATTATTGCCAGATATAATAGTACGAGATAAAAGTCAAATTCAATGCTATCTTGAGTAGTATACAGTCGTTGCGTGGAAAAATGTGACAGTTGTCCCGATGTTCCAATTTTAAATGCGATGTTTAATTTTATTATTTATATCTACGTAACTTATTTTATGTGTAATCTATTTAGTTATAAAATGTTACAGTTTAACAACGTTAAAGTTTTCTAACTATATCAAACTATAAAGTAAAGTTTAGAACTGAAACAAGGAAGTAGTTTGCTAATTAAACTGAAAAATTGGTCTACAGTTTTTTAGACAGAACTTCCTTCGCCCCTGAAGTACAGACGAACAAATACAACCTCTTCGCAAAATTATTAAAGTAAGTTTTTTTCATAATAAAAATTGTGATGACGTCATGAACAATTTAGCAAGGACACGTATATCATATATCAGTAGTAATAATAACAGTACACATTCATATTTTTGTTAAAATATAGTGAGCGTTCTTGATTTGATCAATAAAATACATTTCCTCATTCATTGATTTTTTGAGACACCCTGTATAAGTGATTGTGAAAAATGTAAACGCATTGATAAACCACAACTATAGACTTATAACGTTTAGATGGGATTTATTCGGCAAAATTTTGGCAGGAGATAAATGAATAAATTGTGATTATCGATTTACCATACTCACGACAATCGTTTGCAAAATTTCAGAGCATTTGCTTTTGCAGTTTCAAAGGTAAATTGCAAAGTGTTGCTAGACAATTGTAATTTTTTTCCAAAAATTTGGATATCTAGTGTAAAAAATCTAAACGGATTCATAAACCAGTTGGAGTGTTATTTTATAAAATTTAAATAACATTTACATTTTAAACAATTTGGGGTTATGTCATCACATTGTTGGTGGGGATGATCAGACAAATTTTGGTTAGTGTTTTACCATCTGCACGATATTCTTAACACATGTCGTATAAAATTTGGTAACAGTCGGCCTAATAGATTCAGAGATTATTATTTTTTCGTACTATAGGGGTCATGAGGCTTCGAAAAAAACAGTAAAGCAGCCATTCCTCGGATTTACTATATTACAATACTTCCTTAACTTACGCTCGGAAAGCAAAAACAGTAGTTGGTATAAACGCTCACTGGAAAACAAAACACTGCAGTTGGAAATTTACAGTTCTAGATTTTTCTTGCAACCTTGACAAGGATATGATACGGGTGTCCCAAATAAAACTCGGCGGCCTTATGAGAATGGATAGCTACGGAAATTTTGCAAACGCCATTGCTTTTAGTTTGAAGAGGAACATGTAATTTAATACAGTACAAATATGATGGGCATATGGCGTGGAGGTCGCGACGCAAACCTATGTCTTTTTAAATGACCATCTAATTTTTATAAACTATTAAATTACTATTATATGACGTAAAATATCTACTTATATATGCTGTGTTAGCTCCAACTGTAAATAATATAAGTTACCTAGACGAAAACATATAACTAAATATTTCCCATATATTGTTAAAAAACAGACTTGCGAACACCATTACACTACTAGTTTTACCTTTTAATGTCGGAAATCGTAAACTACAAGAGTCTGCTCCATGGCCAGCTCGCAGTCCAGAATTAACGCCCTTTCTTTTTGTGCTAATATATAAACGATTTGCAAATTCGCGACCGTTGCGTGATATAGAAGATATAATTAAGAATGTTTCTTAGCTGCAACAGGTTGTGAAGTAAAAGTTTTGTATTCACTGTGAAGGACAATTCGGATATATGTATGCTTAAATGTTTTGGAAACAGATCTTATTAGTTTCGAAAATAAAGTCTTATATTTCATGTAGCTCCCATTTTTTTTTTTTTTTCATATACATTTAAATTTTATTTTATCATCTGAAAATGAAACAAACACCGAAATGTATCATACTATAGTCATCATAATTTAATCATCTATCAAAATTCATTAACACAAACATAAGTTAAGTATATAATTTAAAACAACGTAAATTGCGTCGCGATGCCGACGCCATATATGCGTCGTATTTACATTGCACTAAGTTGAGCTTCGCGCTTCGAGCTAAAACCAAGGACGTTTATAAAATTTCAATATTTGTTCTCAAAATATAAGGCCCGGAAATTTTGTCTGGAACACTCGTATAGTACTGTTTTTAACAGGCATATTTTTATTAGCTTCACTTGTAACTATGTAAACCAATATGAACTCGATTTTAACCTTTTTCTAATCATCGTTTCGATTTGAAACTTCTCAAAGGTGTGTAATTTGGATGACAATACAATAATTTGGTGCTATCGAGCAGTGGGGGAGGCTCCACTCTACTCTCTAAATTTTGCCATATGTTCTAAAATTTGAGTGCAATCGTACTCTTGACAGTACTGACTTGTTCCTAATATACTTGCTATTCATAGCAAACTGTAGGTGTGCAGTATATAAGTATATTTATTAAATAACTGCTTTATTAAAACGACAAATAAACAAAATGTAGTAGTTTCATACTTTAAACTACATATACTTTTTCGAAATTTCGCAAATACAGATAAGATGTTCGATGTTATACAGGGTGTCCCAGAATTCGCGCCATTCCCGTGAATGACATGTTCCCTTTCCCGAATTGTGCCGTAATTCGCAAAAAGAATTGTCCAGGCTTTAACCGTGTGAGAACTGGAAGGCGATTAAGTTGACCAATAGAGAGCCTGCTTTTATATCCGAAAGTTTCTATGTTCAAAGTTACCTATGCCAAGAACAAAAAATCGTAATACTAAAGTTGAATGAATTTTTTCCGAATCCCCCTCCGTCAACAAAAGGAAACAGAAGTGTGGTTATAAATTTAATCATTTTGACAATTGTTTGTCATAAACTATCTGGGACACCTGTATATCAAAACAGTTGCAAATATTTTCTGCAGTGCGCCCGGCTTTCAGGACACCACGAAGTCGACGCCTACGCACTAAGCTATAAACCTCCTATAATAAATTTATAGATATGTAAGCTGCTAAAGCTGAGGTATAATTAGCCCAGCAAAAATTATTTTCTTGAGTTGCATTTAAGTTAAAGTAATTTAAATTCACCATTTTCTGTTAGCGTTGTCTATCGGTATACGTATCATTGTCGTCGGCTCTTTAATCTTTTGTGCTGATAATTTTTGAAGTACATTCCCAAAAAAGCGTTTGTAGAAACACAATTGTGCAATAGACCGGGCTTATACAAATCACTGTGTACCTACATACGAGGATCAGTCTAGAAATACATTTAAAACAAAGAGTACAAGTTACACTACATATGAAAAAAAAAACTAAAAATTATATAAGTATGTAATGGATCTTGAAAACCAGGAAATCTTTATATTTGATTTTTTCAGTTTGTTAAAATTGCTTTCAGTATTATATTTATCATTTCAGCTGTCAGCAATTCTTCAGTATACAACGTTTAAGCAAAAGTTTATTTCGTCATAACATTTTACCACATAGCACATTCCCATTTGATAACGACTGAAATTTGAATGCCATAGTTGCAATTATTGCTGTAACACTATTGTTATACCGCTAGTTTGTTTTGTTGCGACAGGTGAGCTTTTTCCATGGTTGTTCTTATTAAAGATGTACACTGGTTACCACTTAACAACTATTTATTTATTAATTGCTACTACATTGCCAGTTTATGCTGTCCGCATGTCACTCTCCACTCTCTTGTGACGCTGTTGTGATTTGTGATGCTTTTTCCCTATGCACTGAGAAATATCCAAGTTAACTTAGAATGGTGGTATGGGCATACTAGATTTATAAACAGTGTCAATTAGGCGATCTGTACCTAAATAGTGGTTCACTGAATTTGACAGTATGCTGCTTCTAAACAAATGAAAATTGCAAAAGTATAGACATTTGATCCGCTAATAAATGCGTATAAAATTTCTGGTTTCAAAATTAACATCGATTGTGGGATAAAATTTTGGAAAGTGATGTCCCACACACCAGGATTGTTCTTATTTCTTTGTATTTATTAAATAATTTATCAGAGAGTCTTATTAGTTATAGTGCGTAAACTGTAGACGTTGTAACACACATATTCACCTATAACATTTAGATATTCACTATTTCAAAGAAATTTATTTGGTACAAAATATTCAAAACTGAATGGTAATTCACACAACAGTTCTTTTTTGTTTTTCGTCCCTCTGTTTGTTAATCCACTGGAGTCGGTCTATTACCTCCAACAAACTTATTATATCATTTCAAAACTCTATTAAGCAAACCTGACCTGAAATCTGCGTTTTAATAACCCACTTTTATTACACCATATGACGAAAAACAACGTCGTTTAGTCAGCTATGAAATTAATTTAAATATACTATACTTTGTATTTTCACACTATGTACTGGGTGTTTCAAATTTTATTAAGATGCCAAAGACAAATTTAAGAGGTATACAACGTTAACTAAAATTTGTTTCTCCAAAAATTAAAAGTATTATT